GAGAGAAAAACTGAGGCTTTTTTAAACCCTTCAACTTTTAACTTTCAAACATCCGTGTGCCACAGTCTGCCAGTGTAGGCTGATGTGTGTGAGAGGAGGAAAGTCCAAGAGTGATGATAGTTAGCTGCGAGGATCACGTCATCTACACTCATCAGTAGGCTCCTTAGAGAAGAACCGTGCCTCGCCTGGACGAGAGCAGGCGGCTGCAGCAGGAGGCGGAGACAACAAGCTGCAGTCAGGTCGGAGGCTGAATCCAAACGTCCACCCTCTGGACCTGCAGACTGAGCCCTCACAGACCTCAGCTGTACATAGTGTGACGTGTTTACTGTCATAACGTAGAGTCTGCGAGGGCTGAGACTGCAAGCTGCTGACAGACAGCCCTCGAGACTGTTTTACTCGTTGCCATGGAAACGTTCAACTATCGCTGCTGTCATATTCATATATTTGTCATATAATCCCTGGTACACACTACACGTTATCAGCCTGATTACAGCCCGACGCAGCGACGTACGGTGTTGGCATGGATCATGAACGACGACGAGTGTTGTACACTATAATCCATGGTTTCATCTCGTGTAGTGTGTCATAGTAGACGACAACCGACGCCATGTCTGGGACGCCTCACGACGTCCCGACAGAAAGTTTGACACGTTTGATTTTCTCTGTCGCAGCCGTCACTTTGACCAATAGTAGTACCATTAGTTTGAATCCTGTTACATTTACTGCATCACGCCATCATTTCAAACTCAACACTTCCTGTTTCTGTTTCAAATTAAAAGCCCCTTATAACTTCAGCTGACAGAATTCCTTCATTTTCTAAATAGGCTTTTATTGTGAAACATTTGCAGGAACTTCCTGTGGAGGATTAGTGACTGTCATAGTTTTCATACGGTGCTTCAAATGTAGCTCCGCCCACCTGGTGACACTTCTTACGTTACTACAGTAACAGTTCAGCTGGCACATGAACACACACAGTGACTGAGGTAATAGTTATAAAATAGGACAAGAATAACCTGATGACATCACACACGTTGGGAAAGACGGTCAGTGATGATTGGTGTGGACCATGGTGTAGTGTGTCATGTCTGTCGGCCAAGTCACGGCACGATTTTATGACTTCACCATCTTTTAATGTGACACAGTGACTTTAAGAACGGGCAGAAAAGTCGTGTAGTGTGAACCAGGCATTAGTTGATGACCAGTGCCTATTAATCAGTCCCTGCAGATGACAAGATATAAATCACATGTAGAGCCTTTTCTGTGACTGAACAAACATGTATTAATACATCTATAACATACAGACTGCATGTGTTCAAAAACAGAAATGTGTGTAAATAAGGACTGTAGCTCAATAAACTGGGTATTACAAACCTTCTTTTGTTGTTTTCCAGCCTCTTTCCCTGCACACTCTGACAGGCTGCAGTAACAATATATGTCTTCAGTCTCTCTACAGCCTGTACGTATACATTCAAATAACATTTTAACCCTTTGAAACCTGAGCAAATTAGCTTCGTTTCTTTCAAAAACAAGGTAAGAAGACAACGAGCAACGAAGGAAGGAATTTGTACAAAGAGAAAATTAGAAACAAGAAAATCAGTAAAAAAAAAAAAAAAATTGAAAGAAAGAAAAGTAAAAACAAACGAACAAGGAAATGATGTAAAAAAAAGTGCTTAAATTTTATCTTAACAAATATATATCAATAAATACATTAATTCAAATAAAATAAAAATTAGACAGTTTTCCCAAGCTTTTTCCTTTTTTCCCTATTTTTTAAAAAAGTTTTAAATCGATTAGTTTTTTGCAATTTTGTGGGACATTTCTTACCAAGTTGCTCGTTGCCTTTTTCCCATGTTTGTCAAAGAAATCACTGAAGAAAGACAACACGCACTCTCAAAAAAGAAGAAAAAAGTCTGGAGGTGCTCTGCAACAGAACAACAGTATAAACAAGAAAAAGCCAGCAACACTTGGTGTCCTTCGTAGGTAACTTTTAATACCTCACTGGTACAGACGGTTAAACACACAGACCGGTTTCGACAAGTGTCTTCCTCAGTGGAAGCCGGGTATCAGTGTCACTTTAGCCTGTCCATAATGATTAAATGTCACGCTGCTAGCTTGCTAACATCAGCACACGTAACGTATGCTAACGTTATATTACACAGTATTTAATGATACAGTCTGTTATCTCTCTATTACTCTAATCTTTCCTGCTTATCGCTCAAACAAATGATTAATTTCTATATTAATATCGGTACTCATTTAAGATACCTTCATCAGTTAGCAGAGGCCACTGTCTAACATCATCAATCCAGCTATTCATGATGCTGTCATTGTAGAGTCGGTTCACAATGACAGCATCATGAATTGATGACTGACACATGTCACCGCAGCAATGGCGCCGCCACAAGATGGCGGCATACACAAATCACTCGCCGAATTCGTCTATAACCTACAGAAAAACCTATAACCAATAACCTATAACCTGCCTCCACCATCAGTACTTATTAAATACTTTCATGTAACGTTACTTATACTTCAGTAAGCTTGTGAACGCAGTACTTTTACTAGTATTTCTGTGTTTCTACTCCAGTTACACATCATCTGTTAATTACTTTAAGCTAGCTAACTACTTTAAGCTAGCTGTTAATTACTTTACATTAGCTGTTCGCTACTTTAAGCTAGCTGTTAAATACTTTAAGCTAGCTGTTTGCTACTTTAAGCTAGCTGTTAAATACTTTAAGCTAGCTGTTTGCTACTTTAAGCTAGCTGTTAAATACTTTAAGCTAGCTGTTTGCTACTTTAAGCTAGCTGTTAAATACTTTAAGCTAGCTGTTTGCTACTTTAAGCTAGCTGTTAAATACTTTAAGCTAGCTGTTTGCTACTTTAAGCTAGCTGTTAAATACTTTAAGCTAGCTGTTTGCTACTTTAAGCTAGCTGTTAAATACTTTAAGCTAGCTGTTTGCTACTTTAAGCTAGCTGTTAAATACTTTAAGCTAGCTGTTTGCTACTTTAAGCTAGCTGTTAAATACTTTAAGATAGCTGTTTGCTACTTTAAGCTAGCTGTTAAATACTTTAAGCTAGCTGTTTGCTACTTTAAGCTAGCTAACTACTTTAAGCTAACTGTAAACTACTTTAAGCTAGCTGTTAAATACTTTAAGCTAACTTAGCTGATAAATACTTTAAGCTAGCTGTTCGCTACTTTAAGTTAGCTGTTCGCTAACGTTACTTTAAGCTAGCTGTTAACTACTTTAAGTTAGCTGTTCGCTAACGTTACTTTAAGCTAGCTGTTAACTACTTTAAGTTAGCTGTTCGCTAACGTTACTTTAAGCCAGCTGTTAACTACTTTAAGATAGCTGTCGCTAACTTTTAGCACCGACGGCCGCAACTGATTTAACGGTTAAATCAACAGTTAAAGTTTTCGTCCGCTGCCTGCCGCTAACGTCCTGTTGTTAACTGTCGCTATGTGGAGTCAAATCTTACCGAGAGTTGAGTTTTCGGATCCATGGACGACGCTCGGCGGTGACCGGTGCGTGCTGACGTCATGTCCCGTTCACTAACGGTAAAGTTTCACACAGTGACCACAGACAGACGTTCATACCTGGAGCAGATGCTGTGCTGCCCCCCAGCGGGCCGGAGGAGGCCCGACACCGTCTGCACAGACTGCGTGAAGTAGTGATGTTACAGCTGATACTGCAGTCTCGAGGCCTGTGTCGAGCAAAGGGGGCGTGTCCAAATGAAGCCCGTGTCGAAACCCGTATCGTTTTTCAGGATATCACGTGACCAAAGACAAACGAGGCCCCGTTTCTCTGGAATCACGTGACTGCCTCGTTGTGTGATTCGAGTCGGGAAATACATTAAGTGTTTTGCGTGATCCGAGGTGATTCTGAAGATCATTAAGTGGATTGAGTGACCCAGTCACACAAGCACTCTAACCTTTTGTGGACACACACACACACACACACACACACACACACACACATATATATGTGTGTGTGTGTGTGTGTGTGTGTGTGTGCACTTTATTGATATACCACGTTCAGGATAGATTCATTTCATCTGGCTTTACAATACCTCATAGGGGGATTCTGACTTAATCATCATCATTAAGCATCATTATGTGTATGCCAGATCCACTGACATGTAGCCCACATGTAATATCACAGTAGGACCACCTCGGATCAGCAAAACACTTCATGTATTTCCCGACTCGAATCACACAACGAGGCAGTCACGTGATTCCAGAGAAACGGGGCCTCGTTTGTCTTTGGTCACGTGATATCCTGAAAAACGGGCTTCATTTGGACACGCCCCCTTTGCTCGACACAGGCCTCGGGACTGCAGTATCAGCTGTAACATCACTAGCCGTCCTTAGAGCGCCACCATCAGGCCGATTAGGGTCAAATTTGTTGAGCTGCGTTTGCACACAACCTCCAATCATTGCTGAAAATTTCACGTGTCCACACTACAAAGGAAATCACTTTGCACATCTGTTAAAACAGGACAGGTGCGTTGGAGAGAGGAGACCAAAAAATTGCAAAAGGACTCCTGCGCACTGTCTAACTTGCAATATAAAATTTATTTGCGACGTTTCGGTACTAGACCTCCATCAGGCAAACAGCTGTTGATGAAGGTCTAGTACCGAAACGTGTCCACACTACACCATCTCATGGGAATATGCAAGAAAATCTCTAACACACAAAGACCAACGAGGTTTCACCCTCCACACTACAAAAAGATTCCTTCAGTGCCAGGGGCCACTGCCGCTGGACCGTGGGGCCGCTGAGCCTCATGCTCGGACCCTAATGACACCAATAAAAGTGGTTTATGATCTCATAATGAACGACCCGACATGGAGAGTCATGCAAACAGGTCCTGAGCAGGTTCAGTAGATGTACACACAGTTCTTCTATAAAGACGCCTCCTGAGAGCCACTGATGAATTAGTGTTCTCTCCATCAGTATGTTTCATGATCAGAAGTGTGAGAGCAGAGATCAGAGTCGCTGTTGAGGGTGATGAGTGTTTATTAACAGCAGCTCAGCATCAAACCACATATCATTAACATACACCAACTGTGTTCAGGTTCAGCTCCACCACAAAAATAGGATTTCACTGCAGCTGTGAGGACGTCTTCAAAAAACTAAACATCTGCTGTGTCTTTTCTACACTGGGCTGTCCTCAGCCAGAGGCCCAGGTCCAAACCACAAGGACACCTGTGAACACAGTCATGCATTGTGTGAGTGCTGATGACAGACCTGCAGGGCCGATGGACGTGTTCCAGAGTTAATGTTCATGTGGGTACAAAATGAAGATGAAGGTGTGAACAACATGCAGCCGCCACCAGCTGTGTTTCCGTATTTACATTTTTTGAAGTACCACATTAGCAAAGCTGCGTGGAAACGAGCAGGTTCTGACGGAGCGAACATTTTAGTCACGTGACTGATCAGCTGATTCTTCTCGTGCATTAGAATTATTGCATTTATTTGTCCTCGTCTCTGGACTGAGTGAAACGTGTCCAACACCAGCTGACGTGACAGCAGAATTAAAACAAGTTCCTGAAGACGTCTCTGTGTTCGGTTAGATGGCGACATGTTTTGTTTCTGGTTCATAACCTTCTTCTTCTTCTTCTTCTTCTTCTTCTTCTCTGTTACCTGGCAGATTACAGCCTGAACCACCAACCTTGAACCAAACTACACTTTGCAGCAAGATGAATTTATTGGCTCCTAGCTGGCTGATGGAAACGCACCGAATTCGCATTTCTGTTTCGCAGCATTTCAAAAGTTTGCTTAGAATTCGGCCGACAGTTTAAAGGAAACACGACCACAGGCCCTGCTAGCTGCTGCTGCTGCTGTGGAGGAAAGTGCATCACATTCAGCTCAAAAAAAATAAGTGGAGATGATGTTGCAGGTTGTTGTGGGAGTCGGGTCAGGTAGAGGAAGGGGGCACGCAGAGTGTTAGCTGCCATCTAGTTTCTACTTCATTATTAGTAAAGTGACACTGATACCCGGCCTGTTCTCACTCCCAACTTGTCAAATACCTTCCCTTCATGTGTGATGTCGGCGTCAGATACCGACGCACAGAGGCATGATTTGATTTGCACCAGGCGCATCAGACACGCTGGCACCCTTCTTACACACCGGGCGGCTATGTAACAAACTGCCACCGGCAACTTGTGTGATATAAAGAGCAATAACGTCCATATAGGGTGGACGGATCAAACAAACTCCAGACTTTTCACCTGGGAGTCGCTGTTTGCTTCTCGTGAGAATTTTAACCATAATGTTCTTTTTAAACTGACCACGTTCTCTTGTTGCCTAAACCTCAGGAAAATAAATCTGAGGTGTTTTACCAACGTTGTAACCTAGTTTTAAAGGAAACTGTGTGCATGTAACGAGCGGAAACTGACGCGGCGTCCCTGACCATCCAAAACTGACGCAGGAGGGGACCAGAGTGTTACTTGAGGAGTTGGGATTAGAGCGTGTTGGGTAGTACCCCCTTTTCCACCAACATAGATCTGTTCTACACCGTTCAGAGCATTTTGACCAAAAGTAAACCGGTTCACGACCCAAAAAGTTGGTTCTCATGTCATAATCACAAGATCCTGAGAGACACCATCCTGTAACTACGATCAAACATCTCCAACTTATTTTCCTGTGTTGACTGCATTGGTTTTTCCTTCCTACTTTGCTAAAGGTTAGTTATTTTAGAGTGACTAAATTGATTGATAATTAATAGCTATAACTGATAACTGATTTCTTAATGTGAATGCCTCATTGTTTCAGTGTTCATGCAAATCACAGATGCCTCTTGTCTTTTCGACGCTCTTCATGGAGGACTGGAGTACAGCACATTCAGATGCTGCACCTGCTCATACAAACATGTAGAAATACATTTAATGAATGTATTACTACACGACAATTACTTTTACATGATTGTACCTGAATGCACCACACTTCAGCTGATGGTGCCACTTGTGGTTTCGACCTGTTCCTGGATCAGTCTGATGCCTCAGTGCTCTCAGCATACAGTATGTACAGTATATATATGAGTGTCTATTAACTTTATCATCTATGTGACCTGTTAGCTCTCCTCTGTGTTCTGATCTCTTTACAAATATAAACTCTCTGAGTGCACAGGTTAATGATACAGGCCATATATCACTGAAACACACACACAGACACACACACACACACACACACACACTTCTTCACAGTTTGTGATTCAGGGTCACAGCCGTCACTAATATGAACAAAAAAGAAACAGAAACTTGTTGAAGGATGAAATTAAATGTCTCGTTATCAGCGGACTATAAAACTCCCTGCAGCTCTCACTGTGTGTTTCCTCCTGTCAGAAAATATCTTTGTCGTTTTGTTTGCACGCCTCTGATGTGATTCATGCTCACAGACGGTCGTGTTTTTAAATCCAGTCCGGTTCATGCTGATGACAGACATCAGCAGCTCCAGACCTCAAACATGTTATCATTCAAATCAAAAGTTCATGTCCCTCAGTATGAAACTACACCTTGTCCCCTCGTGCTGAGTCACAGTCATGTTGAGTCCAGTTTAGGTTCAATAGCAGATTTTGTCCAGATGGTGGCGCTAGAGAAAACATCAGGTCACCTCCGAAACACAGAAACACTCACAGACGTTGTTGAAATATCGGTCAACACCGAGTTATGGACCGATGAGCTCAGAAACATTTTCTCTGTCTCTTAACGCCTCGAGACATCCAGCACGTCATCACATATCACCGCTTTGCCTTTCACGTCTACATATTACGCCCTCGTATCCTCCTGTGTCCTGTTGACGTTCCGGGACGCCGCGACCAACACTGGGACAAGCACATGGTTAGGTTTAGGCAGTGGTGAAGTGGTAGTTGATGAGGCGGCTGTACTGCTAGACGGGCAGGTTACTGCGGAGGAAGTGGGAATATTATCCTACGTATTCTAAGTCCTTTTTGGCTGACAGGTGAGCTTACTGTAAATGGCGAGAAAAAAGGTGGGTATGTATACCCGTTGCCTGGCAACACAATCTTGGTTTGGATCTACCTTCATACAGGAAGTGAGTGGCGGTCTCCAGGGTTTGTTGGATCCATCCACCTCCCCTCCAACCTGCCCTACAGGGACTTTGCAGCTCCTTACATTACGTTGTCACTGGCAGCGTTTCAACCTGACGTTGTCCAGCAGCGTATCATACTGCTGCGACAGGTGCCGTCTGACCGACCGGTGGTGTTTCATAACACCCAAAAGGTTCTATCCAGCCGCATTACAGATGCTGCCCGGTGGCGTTTCATACAGCTGTGAAAGTTGGCGTCGCTGTCTGATGCTGAAATCACTGACAAATCGGCGGTATTTGACGGTTTTGTAATGAGAACGAGCCGAGACATCAGCGCTGAACAGAACTCTGTCGGACGGGCATTTACCACTACAGAATATCAGACAGAACACTGCGATCAGTAGATACGCCTCTGTGAGTTAAACTGAATAAAGTTCCCGTTCACATACAAAGCAGCAATGATTCATTCGTTTTTGTTAGTTTTGAGACGACATGTCACAATAAATATGAATTCCACAATAACGGTTTTCAGTCAAATTATTTCAGCTTGTAACTGTCTGAAATCTCAGCTGGAGACACGATCTGTAGCCGAGCGCTGGATCATCCAATCATGACGAGAGCTGACGTGCTAACATGCTAACACACTGCTCAACAGCAGGTCTACACATCTCTTCAGACAGAAGACTGACGCAGTGAAGAGGACAAGACGTGAAGAGGAAACAAGACAAAGAGGAAAGAGAGGATCAGAACTCAAACAGGATTCTGTGTTTGGCTTCGATTGACAGATCTGCTGCATTAAAGTAACGTTAAACACAACTTTCTCTCATCATCATTCATCCAGGGGTTCGTACACAGCAGACTAACAGCCCGCTCCTCAACTGATGATAGAAGCTTGGACGGCGTCTTCACTGGAACCAGATTCGTTGTGTATCGATGAGGTGAAGATGAATCCGTCATCCACGCCACTAAACCTGCGTCCAAACTGCAGCAAAACAAATATGGTTTTAGCTCGTCCGTCCAAATCGTTACCATGGAAACTATGACAGAAGGAAAGGTCAGGGGCAGGCGCGATGATGTAACCCATCGTATTTCTGTTGTCTGACCTTTGACTCCTTCCATCAAATTAAAACTTAGTGATGTTGACTGGCGTTTTATTTATCTAAATGTATGCGCTCGTTTTGCCTGTTACTGGTCACCAAACAGATCACGTCTCTGTCCGTCAGCTGAATATAACTCAAGCTGCTGTTTGCTCTCAGCGGCATCATGACACTAAACAGGGCCAGGACCAGACTACAGTCTGTCTGAGAAAGCAACTCGAGGGTTACCGGTAACTTAACTGACAAAGGTCCAGATTTATAGAGGCATATATAATTTGTCAATTAGCGCCACCTCCTGACAACCACAGCAAACATTATGGAAAGAGCCGGCTGACGTCTGAGTGTTTTAAATATCGTATCAACATATGAATCAAGAGTTTGACTGTTGGTTACTTATTTATGATCAAATACATGTGAGGAGAGAGAGGAAGTAAAGCTGCAGCCAACTGACTGGTCACTTTTCAGGTCAATGATCCATAAACACTCTTATTATTATTGTTATTATGGTCTGTATTGTTGTGTTCAAATGATCGGGATTTGTTAGACTGCTCCAGGAAATAACAGCTCTACTGTAACATTAGAACATAATTTATGCTAATGTAGCTCCCCGGAGATTTGAGCTTTGATTACTCTAATTTTGATGATGTAATCTGTGACAGCACGATGGCCGACGGTCTGAGAGGGGACTGACTGTTAGTTTTCTTCAAAATGTTACAGATTATCACCGTCTTAACAAATGAACCCGTTCAGAAGCCGATTACGTTCCAAACACACACACAAAAAAAATGTAACGGTGGATTTCTTCTCTAAATGCATTCATAAACCATTGGCAATTTTTTTTATTAGGAAAGTTAATTATGTGTGATTTCTTCTGTCCACTCCAACGGACGAAGAATCTTAACGCAGGAATCACCTAACAGTAAAATTAATGACAAATGGTCAACGAAAAACATGAGATTATTTGTATTCTACAAGTGGTTAAATAAAATCAATGAATGAAGTGACGCTTTACGACACTTCAGTTTGTGTTGTGTTTTTCATCATGACTCAAAATATCCTCAGTTTCTGAAGTATCTCTACAAATTGTCTGTTGAAACATTGAACACTGGAGAGAAACGGCTGAGGAACAGAGAAGAGACCTTTATGGTTGATAGCGTCTAATATTAATATGTAACTGACAGAGCCCCACAGTTACAGCATGAATTAATATTTCGGCCTATATTTCCATCCACCAGGTGGCAGCAGTAGTTACATTGTTCTAAAACACATTAAACGGAGAAAAGAAGTTCATCTAACAGAGCCATGAGGTGCAGTTTGCCGTCAGTATGTCTTATAGCTTTGTTTTATGTCCCTGTCGGCAGCACGTCTGTCCAACGTTAACAAAAATCATTTGACAAATATTATTAATTAATTATATATTAATATTAATTATTAGTATTAATAACCCTGGACGTGACTGCAAAGATCAAACCTGTCTGCACAGAGAGGTTTGTGTGTCTGGATTTATTCTTTCATACAGACGCTAGGTTCTTCCACGGGGTTTATGAAGAAGTCCAAACGCTGTAACGCTGACATCACTCAGGGTTAGTTTGTTGGTGTAATTTAAGGTGTGCTGATGGATTCACGTCATCAACTCATGCATTGAGTAACATTACAAGTTAACGTTCCACCTTAAAAGTTGCCGGCAGTCGGCCCAGTGAATGAAGTTATTTTTTCTCTTTCATTTTATAGTTGTAGTTTACTGATGTATGAACAGAGGTTACATAAAACCAGAGTGAGCGTCCTCTACTGACCAATCAGACTGCAGGGTTTCTAGCTCCACCTTTTAGTACCAGATCTGTGTGCTAGGTACCCCAACAGAGGGGGGACCAAACATGGGGACGCTAAGGAACGCTTCTGTTGTTACCATCCACAACTTTACACTGTGGGAACGGACAACTGAACTGAACTGAACTGAACTGAATCAACCGTACTGCCTGGTGGAAACAGGGCTAATATCCTATCATGCATTGCGCCAAAGGAACGGACAGACAGTATGGGACAGACACCGAGACCTGCTGTACATGTTTAGCAAGTTTTTCTTTGTCATGTAATAAACTGCCAGTTTAATGTGAAGTCCTCAGTTCACGTAATGATAAAAATAATTCGGCAATACATCGTCTCTCGTGCTTCACAGTTACTGTACAGAGTAGGGCTACTAACACTAGCTAATGTTAGCACGCTGGTCGCTACTAGCTCTGGTTTGTGCCTTAATGGTAAAACAAACTTCAACACAACAAAGGTTAAACAGGAAATGACTGACATCAGTAGGACAGGTTGATATGGCGCTGCTCTCCCTCCTCCTGTCTGTCTGCCAGTGTAAATACGTCTAATGTGAGCAGAGCAGCATCACAACACAAACAGCCACAAAGTAATATTACTTATCAACTTGGGGGAAATACGCTCCCTATTTCATGTTTTTATCACAAATGTGGATGCTTCACCAGCCGTCGCTGATATGACATGTTTAAATTATTAAATCATAATTAACGGCGTTGAGAAAATGACCTGGGTGGTGTCTGAATGTGTTTATCATGTTTCAGGTGAGCTCACTATACAGTCCTCTATGTAGAATTACCTACGTAGTGAGTAGTGAACGAGTGAATGATTGTGGACACAGCCTACAAGTGTGTTCATTTGGGTGGAGTCAGGTGACAGTAATCGTAGATCTAGATATCCTAGAAAACTTATGTCCATTAGAAGGGACAGATCAGATCTGAACGGGTTAAGCTACATCGTGTCTTGATGTTCGGGGGGAAAATGAACCTAAAGCAATCCGAGGAAATATACTTTAACCAATACGACAAATGTTAGCTAGTTAACAGTGAAGTTCCTGATGATTCTGCCAGGTTAAAATGGCAGGTCATAAAGGAGGAGACGATGATCACATTCTTCTCCTGTCGTGACAGAGCCATGATCTGTTTGGAGACCACTAACAAGGAAAACTAACGCGCACATTTAGGTAAAAAACATAAAGTGTGTTTTTCAATCTTGTGGAAGGTGAAACAACAAAGATATGATGGGTTATAATTTGATATGTCATGTCTGCCCCGTTGACTCCAGTAGCACTGACACCAAAGCCTGGCTCCTCGTCATGTCCTTTCCTTCTTTTACAGTTTCCTTGATCGCTATGAGAAAAGAAAATTCAGTAAACTCAACTTGTATCTGTGTTGTGAACATTTCTCTAAAACAACCCACAAAGAAGATCATCTCTGTCATCTTCAGTCGGGCCAACAGCGTAAACTTTCAACAGACACACTCTGAACACGGCTACATTTTTGAGGATGGCTAACAGGCTAGCAGCTAGCTAGACGTCATCTCGAGGTCTGGAGAAGTTCTGCGGTCGCCTTCAAGTGTCTCTTCTGGATTTTTTTTTTCTTTTTGATGAGAAACAAGTTGTCAGTGCCGAAAGTTTAAAACAAAACAACACCACACTGTTTTCTAACTGATTTCAGTTACTACAGACCTCCATGTGCTTGATGAGACTGAGCTAGCCTGCTAACCAGCTCGTAGCATAGCGGGATAAAAACTCAGCGGGGCAAGAGATTAACAGGCTATTGGCTAAGTGGCTGGTGGCTAGCAGATAGCAGGTAAACAGGTCAGCTAACGGGCTAGCTGGCTGGCTATCTAGTGGGAAGCAGGCTGAAAGGCCAACAGGCTAACAACGTAGCAGACTGACAGGCTAGCTGTCTGTAGTTGCCGCTGCCATCAGGACATGATGCCGAACACGGGGTTGTGTCGACAGATGCTGGGGCCGATCTCATCGTAGTCCTTCTTCGAGTGACACACCTGGAAAAACTCCGGCTGGACAGACAAACAAACAAAAAAATAAAGAAATAAAATAAAGTATACCTCACACAAGTGACGTCAGTGCACAACGACCCAGGCTGTTCTCATGAACAGTACATTTTCCTACAAATAATATTGCACGGAAATTCATATCCCACGTATCTTGAAAGGCTGCGATCACATGACTAATGCACTGATGTCAGTAAACAAGGAAGCAGTCCTGAGCGGTCTGTAAGGAGGCAGGTTGGTGCGGTGGATAGGTCACAAAAAGTGTGTCCTCAGGAAACACATGTTCAGAACTGTGTGAACTCTGAGTCATTTTAAGGTACGTCCTCGCCACGTTTCTTTCCCTGAACCTAATAACCACATATATAAAACCACAGTAACTTTACTTGCCGAAAGCTAACCTCCGTCACTTTAAGTTAATTACGTAACTGCATGTTAGGGACGTAACATCATTCATGGGGGTCTAATTCGTAGGATAAGTGGAGGATGTGTGTGCGGTTACCGTGGACGCCAACATGGAGCCTCCGAACCAGACGGCGTAGCGCTGCATGTGATGAGTGACGACTTGAACCTCCATCGGCTTCGGCTGCAGACAAATGAAATGCGTCAACTGTGTGTGTGTGTGTGTGTGTGTGCGTGTGTGTGTGTGTGTGTGTGTTTGTGTCTGTCTGACCTTTATCCGTCCTCCACTGAGTTCTTCACTGAGTTTCAGTCGGGCGTCCACGACTCTCTTCAGGTCTCTCTGCAGCCGCCGCCCAAAGTCTCTGAACATGGTGGATCCTCCAGAGAGCACAATGTTCTAAAACACACATGAACACACACACACACACACACATACACACTTTTAATTAACACTATGTGCGATTAGTTTGGTGGAAACATACTGAGGTGTGCTCAGGTGAGTTACCTTGTAGAGCGGTCTCCTCACATCAATTGGACAGCTCTGAATGACCTCATCAACGACATCAGAGATGGGTTGCATGAAGTCTGGGTTAGCAAACTGAAAACACACAATAACAATCACTTAATATATTTTTTATTATTCTAATTAATATTTTATAGATTCACCTCTGTCTTCAGACAAAACCTGTTCTTAACTTAAACTTTCTGTTGGTCCTCCTGTTTATCTTTTCTTAATGCTGCATTACGTTCCTTCTGAGCAGGTAGAGGACAGAGTACCTGAGCAGGTAGAGTGCAGAGTACCTGAGCAGGTAGAGGACAGAGTACCTGAGCAGGTAGAGGACAGAGTACCTGAGCAGGTAGAGGACAGAGTACCTGAGCAGGTAGAGGACAGAGTACCTGAGCAGGTAGAGGACAGAGTACCTGAGCAGGTAGAGGACAGAGTACCTGAGCAGGTAGAGGACAGAGTACCTGAGCAGGTAGAGGACAGAGTACCTGAGCAGGTAGAGGACAGAGTACCTGAGCAGGTAGAGGACAGAGTACCTGAGCAGGTAGAGGACAGAGTACCTGAGCAGGTAGAGGACAGAGTACCTGAGCAGGTAGAGGACAGAGTACCTGAGCAGGTAGAGGACAGAGTACCTGAGCAGGTAGAGGACAGAGTACCTGAGCAGGTAGAGGACAGAGTACCTGAGCAGGTAGAGGACAGAGTACCTGAGCAGGTAGAGGACAGAGTACCTGAGCAGGTAGAGGACAGAGTACCTGAGCAGGTAGAGGACAGAGTACCTGAGCAGGTAGAGGACAGAGTACCTGAGCAGGTAGAGGACAGAGTACCTGAGCAGGTAGAGGACAGAGTACCTGAGCAGGTAGAGGACAGAGTACCTGAGCAGGTAGAGGACAGAGTACCTGAGCAGGTAGAGGACAGAGTACCTGAGCAGGTAGAGGACAGAGTACCTGAGCAGGTAGAGGACAGAGTACCTGAGCAGGTAGAGGACAGAGTACCTGAGCAGGTAGAGGACAGAGTACCTGAGCAGGTAGAGGACAGAGTACCTGAGCAGGTAGAGGACAGAGTACCTGAGCAGGTAGAGTACAGAGTACCTGAGCAGGTAGAGGACAGAGTACCTGAGCAGGTAGAGTACAGAGTACCTGAGCAGGTAGAGGACAGAGTACCTGAGCAGGTAGAGGACAGAGTACCTGAGCAGGTAGAGTGCAGAGTACCTGAGCAGGTAGAGGACAGTGTACCTGAGCAGGTAGAGCATGATGAGTTAGTCTGAAAACCCCTGAGGCTGACACAGACAGGAAATGTGCCACAAAACAAAACAAAAACAGGAGCTAAAAGAGGCTCAAAAGCTCTGCGAAGTTACCTCGGGGTGGAAGAAGATCTCGGGGCCCAGGAAGCGCTCGTAGCCCACGTCGATATGGAAGGCGGTCTTACTGACAGCATTGATTCCGCGGTACTGTTTGATCCACTTCCCCGGGTCAGTGTCGTACTTTGTGAACTCCTTCACAATGTCTGGACAGATGTAACAGTACCGCTCCTACACACAGAAACACACATGAACAAACAGAGACCTCCGTTTTAAAAAGATCAGCATTTTCTGAGGCCACAGCTCGGTGCTAAATAATGAGTCAGGCTGCGAAAGAGGAGGAGCAGTAGAGGAGCAAAGGATATGGACTACAAGGAGAGCAGGAGCAGAGGAGGAGTGTTGTATACCCTTGTGTAAGGGTTTGTTGGTGTTAAGCAAGTGATCTGAAGGAATGTAAAGGAGAAGGAGAGAAAGAGGAGAACAGGAGGAATAAAAAGAGAGGACTATAGGAGGAGCAGAGAGGATAAAGAGAAGAAGAGGGTGGGGAGTAGAGGAGGGGAAGGAAAGGAAAAGGAGGAGAAGGGAAAAAAGAAGTAAGGGGGTAGAGAATGAGAGGAAAAGAGGAGGGATAAAGAGAAGAAGACAAAGGGTAGGAGGAGTAGTGGAGAGGAAGAGGAGGAAAAGGAGGGGAAGTGGAGGAGGTAGAGTAGAGGAGTAGGAAAAGGATGAAAGGAGAAAGAGGAGTAGGTTGAGAAGGTGAGAAGGGTAGGAGTAGCAGAGGAGTAGTGGAAGGATGGGAGGAAGAGGAGTAGAGGAGGAGGTACCTTGACAGCCTTGGCGGTCTCCAGCGACTGCTCTGGAGGAATCCCCACCTCTCTGTCTCTGAGCAGCTGCTGGATGAAGAAGGTGATGTCCCGCCCTGCGATGGGGATGTGCTTTATACAGCTGCCAATCACGTAGCCCTCAGCCTGTGACAGACAGTCCCACCGACCAATCAGTGAGCAGAGACCCTCAAAACAAAGACCAGTATCTGTGTGTGTGTGTGTGTGTGTGTGTGTGTGTGTGTTTGTGTGTGTTTGTGTGGCGGTGGGTCTCACCACAGGGATGGCGTGTGTGACTCCGTCTCCGCTGTCAATGACTATGCCGGTCAGAGTTCTCTGTCCGACCTGCCGAGACGTCCAGGACGCCGCCAATGCCAAGACCGCCTGATGGAGGGAGACAACACCACACACTGAGTCTGTCTCTCTACCTGTCTGATTGTCTCACCTGTCTGAGTATCTCACCTGTCTGATTGTCTCACCTGTCTGGGTGTCTCACCTGTCTGATTGTCTCACCTGTCTGAGTGTCTCACCTGTCTGATTGTCTCACCTGTCTGAGTGTCTCACCTGTCTGAGTATCTCACCTGTCTGAGTGTCTCACCTGTCTGATTAGCTCACCTGTCTGAGCGTCTCACCTGTCTGATTAGCTCACCTGTCTGAGCATCTCACCTGTCTGATTGTCTCACCTGTCTGATTGTCTCACCTGCACTGCGATGTAGAGTCCAGGTATGTTGAAAGTTTCGAACATGATCTCTGCCAGGTACTCTCTGTTCTCTGGAGTGTTGAGAGGAGGCTCCGTCTGCACACAGACACGTCACACATTATAACAGTACGGTGCTCAAGGACCTCTACAACCTTTTCAAGAACTCCGTAGTTCCCTCCAGGCAGCTCACAGAGCTTAAGGACCTGGGATTAAACACCTCACTGTGCATGTGGACCCTTGACTTCCTGACAGGCAGACCTCAGGTGGTGAGAGTGGTCAAACACACCTCTTCCATCCTCATCCTTAACACTGGAGCACCCCAGGGCTGCATTCTGGGTCCCCTGCTGTACTTCCTGTACACACATGACTGTGCAGCCACTTCAGACTCCAACACCATCTTTAAGTTTGCTGACGACACAGCTGTGGTGGGCCTGATCACAGATAGCAATGAAACCCCTAACCTGAGCTGCTGGTGTCAGGACAACAACCTCCTACTGAACATCAGCAAAACTAAAGAGATGATGTTGGACTTTGGGAGGAAGCAGCCAAGGACTGACGCTCCCCTTAATATCAACGGGTCCTCGGTGGAGACGGTGGAAAGCTTCAAATACCTTGGTGTCAGTCTCAGCCTGACCTGAAACTGTTTTACCTGAGACACCTGAGGACAACATGGGAAATTTAAACATGGGAAAAACCTGCAAAAAATAGGCTATAGACTCTTCTCCCATTGCCAACAGAAAAATATAACTCTCATAACTCCTTAATCATTACAGAATATAGCAGCTTTCACCACAGTTCATTTTAGGAGGACCACTGCAAGGAAATGTGTTCTTTGTTGAGATCATCAAACGAATGATGGATCATAAACACTTGTTTCTGGCTGCCAGCTTTAGCTTGCTGAAAAGCTGTTGGTTTCCACTTTAAAATGTTGATTAAAACATTGCCGTCTGTTTATACTTTGACTTGGATAAGTCTGCCCGTCCAGAGGACAGGGACATGACAACCAGGGGGAGGGCGGGAGGATGGTGGGGTCTGTTGACTCTCCTCCAGTGTCCACACACCCCTGGATGCCCGACCCTCTGGACGGGCAGACTTGCTCCTCACTACCATCCATTCTACCATTAACCCTCAACAAAGTATCAACTGACGCTGACATTTTGAAGTGGAAATAGCCAACTTTTCAGCTAACCTAGCTAGCGTGATAGCTATGCTAGTAACACTAGCACCTATTGTCGGTTAGTTTTCCAATAATTTAAATAAAGACCATGTTTTCTCACAGTGTTCTTTCTAAAATGAGCAGTGGTTGAAGTCAGTATATTCTGTTATGATCGAGGAGTTGATGCTAGCTAGCCCTAACAAGGCTAGCTAGCTGAAATGTTGATTGCTCTCACTACGGTGAAGTGATTGGCTGAATTAAAACCTGATAAGTGTTTGACTGACATAGGATTGTGAGCCTCTGACTGGCCACATTAAAAAATGACTGACAGATACCCCGCCCTCTTGAACTTGCACATGCGCACGTGTCAAACAGTGGCTCTCCAGCTCTGTAGGTGGAGGATGTTGGATCTACATCCAGGCAGGTGTTAAGATATCATATCTAACCTTTATGGAAGATGTTACAGTCCGAGCCTTCAGGACAGAGCACAGCAGAGACCAACATGTTTGAACATGTTTGTAGAGCGTGATGAACTGCTGATCAGCTGTTTCTGTCTGCCTTCACATTCAGACGCTCACTGATGGTCCGACAACGGTGTCTGACAACTTCATTCTTTCTCACGACGCTCCTTTGGGCAAACGGATTTCCTTGTATAGACAAATGGGGGTGTGGCGGTATGCTGATGTAGACATCGGGCACGCACCTGTTAATTTAGAATGTTTCGGATTCACCAACATGGTGGTGACAACAAAATAAGTCGGTGTGCAAGTGTCACGAATCCTACGGCGAGTCTTCAGGCCCAGTGTCCTTTGACATTAGAGGACGTCCCACCTTAGTCTTTTCAAAGTCTTCTGGAGTGTGGCAGGCATTAACCTCAGAGGCTCGGTGTTTAATACAGTGCAGGTAACCATAGCAACAGCAGTGGTGTAAAGCAGCACAGTGTTCACCCACCATGAGGAAGCTGTGGTCTTCAGGTTCAGCTCGAAGGTATTTGAAGATGACCTGCTCCATAAACTTCTCCATCAGATCCCAGTCCTCCACCATCCCATGACGGATGGGCCACTACACACACACACACACACACACACACACACACAGAGGCAGAATGACATGATAATAACATGATAATTATAATTCTTTTCAAATCAACAGAACAGCAGTGATGGAGGGCAACACATCTATTTGCTTTAAAGTGTGTTCAGTCAGGATGTAGAGCAGCTAATACTTCTCCTCCACCTCCTCCTCCTCTTACCTTGGTTGCATAGTTGGGTTTGTCAACGGCTTCGTCTCCAATGTAGAAGTCCAGGTCGTCTACTCCTCGCACGAGTCTCCTCTGAGCCTGCTCTCCCACGCTGGCCGACTCCTTGATGGCGATACCTGATCCAGACCAGATTCAGAGCAGGTACAAGTACAGACACACAGAAACTGCTCGGCCCTATGTTCCCTCAACCATATATCCTCTCATCCCATGTTCGCTAACCTATGTTCCCTCATTTCTATGTTCCTTCAACCCTACATTCCGTCACCTTATATTTTCTTAACCCAATGGTCCCTCAACCCTTCTGTTCCCACAACTCTATGTTCCCACAACGTTATGTTCCCACAACTCTATGTTCCCACAACTCTATGTTCCCACAATGTTATGTTCCCACAACTCTATGTTCCCACAACTCTGTTCCCACAACTCTATGTTCCCACAACGTTATGTTCCCACAACTCTATGTTCCCACAACTCTATGTTCCCACAACGTTATGTTCCCACAACTCTATGTTCCCACAACTCTATGTTCCCACAACGCTATGTTCCCACAACGCTGTGTTCCCACAACGCTATGTTCCCACAACGTTATGTTCCCACAACTCTATGTTCCCACAACTCTATGTTCCCACAACGCTGTGTTCCCACAACGCTATGTTCCCACAACGCTATGTTCCCACAACTCTATGTTCCCACAACTCTATGTTCCCACAACGCTATGTTCCCTTGCTGAAATGCTCCCTCAGTCCTATATTTTGTGCACAGAGACCAAAGATGTTTAGAGACGTGTGGAGGTTTCAGAGTGAGCTTACAGGAGGGCATGATGAACTGGGGCTCAGTGTTTCCAGCATAGCCGATCTTTGTGTACCTGCAGACAGACAGACAGACAGGCAGACAGGCAGGACAGTGCAGGACTCATCAGAACAGCCTCAACAGACCAGAATGCATTGAGGCAACCAGACGGATGACGAGTGTTAATTCAGTAGTGACAAAACACAGTTAACACTGAAGGTCTCAGTGAGCTCTTACAGCTTCTGTCCTTTAACAGCAGCTCCTGGATCAGACATAAACAAAACATCAGTATAACTCAGACATAAACATCAGTATAACTCAGATACCTGGTGTATTATTTGTCTCTCTCAGATGAGCTGGTGTGTTTCTCTCTTCATCCATGAAACAAACCCTTCAGACTAAAGAAAATCTCTTTGTAAAGACGACTTCCTGTCATCTGAAAACATCAGAGATCATTCACACACACAGAGCAGCAGGAGCTGGGAGTGTGTATCGTGGACGTCCTGAACGTCTCACGTCACCTCCAGGTGCGTCCTCTTTGTCCTCGCAGGGTGAATTTAATTTCAGGATTTTATGAACTGAGGACTTGAGGTGAACTCAGAGGGTTTGGTGTCACTGGTGATGTGGATGCAGCTCCTGCTCTAAATCCTCCAGCTGTCCTACATTCACACATTCAGACCAGAATAGACTGATCCCAGATCAGTGTGCTGCTGATGCTGTCAATCAAACACAGCTCAGGAACACTGACAGGAAACATGCTTTGACGTTTTAACTCTTTCCTATTCATGTCTATAAAGCCTTCAGTAACCCCCTCTTTATATTTATCATGTACAATCAGTGTATGAACATGTACGAACTGATTTATGACCACTATAATGTCAGCTGATCAAAGGGTGTATTAATATATCTGTTAGCAACTTCAAGTGTGGCATAAATCAGTAAAACGCAGCTGTAAATCACCTGACCCAGCCGGAAGAAACAAGTCTGGCCACATCCAGTTACCTGAATCAGTTCAGACTCGGGATGAATAATGCCCCAGAATTGGGCCAAATGAAGTCCTGTCTCAGGCGGGACTGGCCCGTGTCGACAGCACCCAATCAGGCCCAGATATGGCAACCATCAACGGGCCGGAACAAGATTTGGTGCTGGCTAACCAATTCATCTGGGCGCCATGTCTCAGCCGGGACTGGCCCGTGTCTGTAAAAGCTAAAGCTGGCTCATATGTGGCACCATGGAGTCCGCCCCACGGTTACCTGGGATACCACGTTAGAACAAACACTGACCAACACACGTCCTCATGTGTATTTATAACGACGTTATAGTGTGTTATTAATCATTAATTACATGTTTATGTTCAGATATTTTGAGTAAAAACAGATTTTAAGTAAAATTTGAAACATGAAAGTGATTTATGTCCAACAGGCTGAACTCAACTCATCATTGATTTATTAATATGAAAGTGATATTTTAATTTCTTCTTTTTAATTCAGTCAGTCATTCATTCATCCGCTGATTATTTCACATCAATAACCTTGAACTGATCAATTCTTTTTCTTTCCACCTCTTATCTGCAGCATTATTCTCATTATTATTATTTTATCTCTTTCATCTGTTTATTAATGATGTGATTTTATTGGTCTCCTGAGATGTTTTCATCCTGGACGAGGAAACATTTACCAGCTTTTATTTTGACCGTCTCTCTCTCACCTCCGCCTGTATTGTGTGTGAACACCAACCATAACAACACACACACACTTCATACATGATGATGTTCACAAACACACATGTCGCTACATATGACGTCACAGACTTTACAGCGTGTGCATCCATGCGTTTGTGTGCGTGTGTGTGTGTGTGTGTGTCTGTGTGTGTGTGTGTGTATGTGTTTGCGCTCACCCGGTCCCGCAGTCTATCACGCACGGGGGGAGCTGCAGGGACATGATGTGGTTGTGCTCCGGCTCGGTCCGGCCCGCAGAGCGGCCGCTGGTCGGTGGTTCAGACCGGATCGGTGCAGACCGGAGAGCGCGAGGCGGAGTTGGATGTGTCTGTCTCTGTAATGTCTCCGTGTCTGTCTCTGTAGTTCCGGGTCGGAGGGAAAGATGGAGAAAATAGAAACACATCTGACACGGCCCCGGTAACCGGAGAGAAGTGTGTGTGTGTGTGTGTGTGTGTGTGTGTGTGTGTGTGTGTGTGTATGCTGCGTTCACGTGATGTCAGCTGCGCCGTAAATACCTCTGCCTGGTAA